CTGTTTCTGAATATTTAATATGGTTGTTTTCACTTCTGCCCGTAAGTTGTTGAAAACGCGTTCCGCGAGCCCACGACCGATTTGGAGCTCATCAGATAAGCGCTGTCCTCGAGTTTCCGTGCGCAAAAGTTTTTGAAACAGGCTATGTGGTTACCATGGTATCGACCAGGTTACTTCTAGCAGCTGACCAATCGTTGTGCGCAAAACAGTGTTTCAACTCTACATGTTTTACGTCTGGCTCTGAGGACAATAAAGGGAATATTAACTGCATTAAAGAAATGTTAACATGTCACAACACGTGACTTCGCTTTAATTACATTAGTGTTTCGATTCAATCCCAAAAGTTGTCTGGACTAATTATTGTATGGGGCATTTTCGACACCTAATTATTTATTTAGCTTACAGTAGATAATGACATTATTTAGGTATTTAGTCGCTCGTTTATTGAACGGCTACCATTCCACCAACATTCAACGAAGTAGCTGTAAAAGAGGAAGCACTACATCTTTGCAGCGGGAACTCTGTGGTCAGAGTTTTCTGAATATTTCGCGAAGTGGCTAAACGATAGGAGAGAGAAATTCCCGTCAAACACATGTAGTATGTGGTCATTTCATCGACGACTCAGTAGTGTCGACCATACTGTCGCGTATCTTGTGAACTCAAATTATCAAATATCAACAAAATTCTCGCTTGGTAGTACTTCAGTCATTTTACGTTAAACCCCTAGTGACGGGACATGGTCTACAACTCAGTCGGCTACTTAGTATTGTACGGCGCTGAGTGCACCATTCATCTTTGTCAGTTGTGCAGTTGCACAATATGCACTCATCGCTTACGAACCACTGCATGGATTTAGATTGGAAACGGAAGTTTCCCGATCGGTGCTAAACCAGGGCTTAAAAACGATAATCGTTCAGCTGTAACACCCTTTCGGTGCCTAGCTGCCATGTCACCCGAAGGGAACACGAGGGTTGGGATGCCGCCAGGTTGCCTGGAGATGCAGAGCTCGGGTTTGAACCACGGACCTTCCTCTCATGAAATTCGTGTTCTAACAACTGAGCTATCTCTACGGAGAACCAGTGGAGCAGACAAATATGCTACTGGTGGAGTCCAGTGAAGTGTTCCCTTTAAGGTACCCTGTGCAATGGGACCAGCTAGGAATGTCGAGATTTAGGTGCTCGACAGCAGCCCTCTGTACACATTTCACAGTCGTATTCGCTTTAACTGAACTGCCCTGAAGAAATACGTGTTCCTCCGAGGGGGCACAGGTGACCAAATATTGCTTGAATGGCTCATGTGTAACATACATTTTTCACCATAAATGAATGCGCTCAGTCTTTCACTATGATTAATATTGGAAAAATTGTTCCTATGTCACTTATTTGCTATCCTCGGTTGTAAGACAACTCAGTGCTATCTCAACAGACATGATTCAATCAACTTGATATGAACGCTAATGCATTTCTTTTCAGACCGATAAGCCATTCAAGTCAGTCTTTCTGTCACGCAACAGCCATTGGCGATAATCATTATCCTACACTTCCCTGGCAAGATATTCATCTCGTCAGTAGCCCATCTGTCTTGATCTAATCAGCGTTCATTCATTCTGTTTTATAAAAAAACAATGCTTTTGGCGAGATGGCTCAACGTAGCAATCACCTTAGCAACCAAGTAGTCACCGCCATTGAATGCTGATGTCTGTCCTGGCCACCACGTGATGGCAATTTAGCTACTAGCTATGGCCTGATGTAATTATTGATTACCCACTATGTGTAGCAAGAATAACTCTTTGGGTTGTACTGTTTTCGGTGTCAGATGTTGGGACTGTTTACGAAACAAACTGTGCCAGTGTGGTATCTAAAAGATAACGGGACTCAAAAATACAGATTACAAAGTTCGCTGTTTGATAGAAAGTTGCCTAGCATTCAGTGCACAAGCTCTTATGATCAAGGAGACCGTGTTGACCATTACACTTGTGGCGGACCGGCTGATCACAAGCGTCTGTGCGAATTAGTTTTGACCACAGGTGTCAGATTTGCACAGAAGGATGTATACCGCAGCCGGCAGTCTAATTCGCGTAAAATTCAGGTAATTTTCCGACGCCCGGTACACTATATGAAGAGCACAAAACGATAAACCGGTTTCTTCTTGGGTAATAGTAATCCCGGTGTGAGTATTGCTTGCTTTTTGTGCAACGCAGTCGAGTTCACATTCTGGATGGCTATGTCCGGGTTTCTATCGTGTCTTGTGAGAATATCTCGTTTCTCTGCCAGTCAGACAACGTGTGATCTGGACTTAAAGGAACCTTCCGTTCCATGTAGGTTTCCTCTGCTTCGTTCTCCGAAGTGTGCCAAGCTGGCAAGCTGGTGAAGTCTCATTTCAATGATCTGCTCTGTAAACAGAAATATGGCTTTGTCATGCGGTCTCCATCGGGCCCATTTAGACTACATTCACGGATAACCTCGAAGTGGGTTAAATGACCTCTACTCTAGACGTATTCATTTACAGTGACTACTCGCCTTCAACCTAACAAAGCGGAGCCCGAAAGATATTTCAACAGCATTTGACCAAACTCACCAGAACACTGAGTTCATCGTAGAGTTGGGAATCCAGAAGCTCCACTGGCCGGTAACAAGAATGAATCAGAACGGACCCCAAACTATGGAACAGGTGACGCAGACCTTTTAGTCTTCAGGTTGGGCGTGATTAATACTACACAAACAGCGAAGATTTATTTTCCGTACTTTCGAGTGCCACTGTTTTTTTATCATAGATTGTTAGCAATGTTGTGGAATGTAGGTAGCTCGGGTGCACTGTTTGGTTGTTGGTCTGTTCGCCAAGCTTGGCAGTTGGATTGCGAATGTTTCAGCACCAATCGAGGTGACATCGTCAGCGCAGAGTTGAGTAGGTGAATTCCTCCTATTCTGCCTGTGATTATACAGCTTCTAAACAGTTTCTGGTAGTTCTGGAAACGGTTTCGTGTAGTTTGACTGGTCTCCTGTGAATCTGAGGTGGTCTCAATCTCTGTTGTAAAAAGCTTGAGGACCGCACCTAGAAAACTGGGCCTATTTACTATCTCGCTGTTCTAGTGGCGTTTCAAGGAGTTTCCAGTCTCAAGAAGAGGACAGCACGACTGTTCGAATGAGGGTAGTGAGGACATAAATTCATCAAGTCCACAACTATCCACAGGTGACCAAAAGTCGTCGGCCTTATTTCAAGCAACTCTAGCGCTTTCTGACCAGGGGATCAGAAAGTGCGGGACACATCTTGGCCAGTCGCTAGGTCGTTGTTCTAGGCAAGGGGCAATCTAGTCAAATCAGTTGATCATGAACATACTACCCTGTTCAGGAGTGTTTGTTCAGGTGCATTGCACTCAGCTAGCATATCACACGACCAGACCACAACGTCCTGCGGGGCCAAGATGATCTCCCACCGGTAAGCAAATTTATGCTCTAGTCCTTCTCGCATTTTGGGTTGCAATAACCGGAACCGGAAAAACTCTTTTGAAGAGATTCGTACGGCCACGGTCCATCCAAGCCCCGAACAAATGTACACTTTGTGGTTACAGTAGTTGACAGGCTGCATATAATATCTAATCATCAAGTTACTACTTACAGGTGCGGGAATTTTATAGCAGTTTGACGTAGAAGAGATGGAACCATATAAACGTGAGAAGAGGCCCAAGCACCTAAACCTAGTGTAGTGAAACCGAAAAGTCAGACCCCACAATGTCCTTTGGCTGTCTGGGCGATGTCTGGCTTACTGCGGAGGTCACACGTGAGGTTCATTGACTGCGCTGACAGATGGCGACTGATAAAGCAATCAGACAGAGGTGTCACAAAACTATGTAGACTTCAAGTGCATACGTGAGATTCGACGCCGCGTCCAGTACAACTGATAAACCATTCGTACAATAAGCTTGGGGGTCTGGAGTTCACGGTTAATCCAAGAACATTTACTGAGTTCCTATTCAACATTACGAAGATTTTTATGAGACTGACACTTGGTGCGGAGTTTGCAGCCAGTCATGATGGACGTTGGTTCCAAAGAGATGTTCACTCCAGAATTTTTCCACGGCAAATCTGAAAAATTAAGAAATTCGTTTATCCCGAAGTAGCGAATTGGTTTTGGAAGTTTTAGGACAGAATGAAGTAATACATGCACTTAGAAACATCATGATGGGACCAGTCGTGTTTTTCACCATATTTCTAGTAACAATACGTGGAATAGAAGAAAATTCAGAACTACCGGGAACAAAAACCGGGCAGAAAATAAACAGGACGTGGAAAAAAGGCGCCTCAAAAGTGTAGTTGTCGGCATTCTGACTATTCCGCTGTTAGAGAAGCCATCCGCTCACAGGCACAGGCTTTTGCAACTATCCACGTTCAGCCTACTGGTGTGTATCACGGGCTCACAGTAGAGTCGTAACTGGGATTGCAAATTAGACCGTTCAGTGGAAGCATTTAAAGTAACGGAAGCCACCTTCATGAGGTGGGAGGAGTGAACCAAGTGCCAAATGAACTAAATGAAACATAGGAAGTCGCGATTTGGCCCCAGCAATGGGTGACACCATCTAGAGCCGAGCTTTAGAATTCAAGGTGACCTGGAGTGAAATATCTGCTAATGGGGACTTATTTCAGTTAGCCCATCCAAAGTCTTTGACTTCAAGGTCTGACTTACAAGGCGGTACGGGATGACCTGGCGTGAGGACAAGGCACTGTGCACAGCTAGTTCCTTTCGAGCTCAGAGGAGTTGATCATAGATAAATTCTCGTGCTACCACTAAATACGGAGCTCAGTTTGTGCTGCGCTGCCCTCCGTAAGAGACGCTTTCGATACATGCTTAGTCGTTCCCGTCCTTTTGGACGGGGAATGCATTGCGTGTAGGTTCCTGCAATATCTATCGAAATATCCCGCTTCATTGCCTGCTTGTGGCGGTAAATGGCGGTAATTACCGTCCAGCTATCCTGACATATGCATCTGATCTAAAACGGATTGGAAATGCCGATATTTATCAGCGTTACGCTATTTGTTGTTCTGTTACCGCCCAGTTTGGTGCAATGGAAAACTAATCAGCGACAGCAGAGAACTAGAAATCATGTTCTTTCAAAAGCATTTGTTGTCTTTCGTAATGCACTACTCATAAGATTGCTGAAAATTCGTCGACAGCTCACGACCGCTTTCGCCCTTATTGGGGCTCATCAGGTAGGCGCAGTTCCCGAGTTTCCGTCAACCCTATGTTCTACTTGAGACCAAATTGCACGAAATACACTAATTTGCAAACTAATTTGGTTTTTCGAGAGACTCACATGGAACCCATTTGAATCTCTCGTTTGTGATGTTCAGCTGGGTTCCAGGTGAGTCTCTCGAAAAAAACCAAATTAGTTTGCAAATGAGTGTACTTCGTTTGCCGTCTTCTTTGATTTTTTTGTTCGCAGAAACAGGCAGGCTGTATCCTGAGACGATGTCGCTGGAAGTGAAGCAGTAGCATCCCAGGGTTCCAGTGTTGGTTGACAAGATAAAACCATACTCAGCTCAGTGTTTCAGGTGAGCACCATACTGAAAGCGATGTGGATCTGAAGTAAACTGACGCTGTTTTTTACTGGTCAAGCTGGACACGTTCTGGAGTCTGTGCCATGATGGATGGAGATATAACCGGTAGCAGAACGATAGTGATTGCTTTGTCTGATTAGGCATTCCACCAGTGGTTTTGATAGAGTACTGTAAATGTGCCTTCATTAGCACTCAGTTGACGGAGGTGACTTTGAAATCAAAGGCTGGACCATTTTTAATATAAATCCGAAGCCATTCCCTTTTTGGCGTGTTGCTTATAGACAGAAATAAATGATTTAAATCGTTGGAATCATATCCTCCGAGGGGGGTCATTGCGTGTTTTTGATCGTTTATTGAGGGGGATCGTTGTTTTTAATGTGTGTTCTGCTCCATCCGGCACTGGGCATGTTGGCCAGTGGCTAATTGAGGGTCCCGCATTTTGTTCACCTCAGAATAATTCTGCAAGCTATACAAAGATATAAGTAAATTTTACTCGCTTTGATATCGCAGCGTTACTGAAAATCTTGCTCAGGTGGTCAGTCATTTGTTATATCTTGAAATAATTGAGGTACCGGGTTCTGTCTTAATGCTATTTTTACATACACATCATCAACTCAGCCCAGTTTGCCTCTAACTTAAGAATGCACCCGAACTGCCCGGCAAATCCGATCCTCACGTGATGCGGGAGTATTACGTGAATACGTCTAAATTCATATCGGCCATTGTTCAGTCATAAAAAAGACGCTATTCGATGCGCCATCACAACACACTCATACGTCATGAAACCCTATGGACAGTTGAGGTGAAAACCGCCGAGAATACTGGTTACAATGCCAATGGCATTCTTTTCAGTTTCGCCCTTCTTTAACCCTCTACTATTTTTCCCGAATAATGTGGGATAGTATCATGGGAATGTAATGTCCCCTTTTTTCGATCGATCGGATTTACGCTTAGGACTTCTAGCACGAGCTTCCGTATGCAGACATCACTAAACTGTCCTTTAATCGGAATTGAGAATATGAGACAAAATTATGGACCTTATTTGCTGTCTGTTCGCAAAACCAGACGAGTACTACTACCTAGAAATCGACGTCTACACAGTCGAGTTATAGCCTCTATTTACAAGAATGCCATTGAAATTGTAACCACTATTCTCGGCGGTTTTCACCTCAACTCAATGAAAATACACCAGGGAGGGACGACGAAATCCTGTAACCAGCAAGCGAGTTTTCTCAGGCTGTTTGTAATGTTTTTAACTCTCCACAAGTCTGAATTAGCCTACCTGGATCTATTGCTGTATACTTTGGTCAAATTAGTCAAGCCCGATCAGCTGAGACGGGTTTTTCCCAACTGGTAACGTGCAGGGTTATGCGCAGTGAAATTGAGTAACTGTCGGTATTCACAACCTGTTTATTCGCCTTCATAGAGGAGGTAGAATTTTTAAATAATTTCACATAAGAACACAAAAAGGCGAAAGGACAGGGTCGGATCTGGAACTTGCTCAAACCGCTAAGCTACAACTGGACCGGATCCAAAGACCTACAATCTGTACCTTCATTCACACTTCGTGTACCTAAATTCCTGTCAAAGGATGCCTACCTCTGTGGCTTTCAGTCAGGACAGATGCCTATGAATACGTGTGGAATAGCAACTTTTTATTTCTCTTTTGAAGTCACACAAGGAACTCACTTATACGCCAACTGCTGGCCCCGTTAAATGGAAACATAGTGAACCAGTATGGAGTTGAAGTTCATATATGTGACCTGGAACAGAAGCAGAAGATTCCGAGTTCGAATTTGACCCCTGGCCCCTACTTTTCACATGCGTCACGTAGGATCTGGTTCCTACTCAGGTTCACGGGCAAAAATACGCCAAAGAAAGGAGGACACTGATGAAAGTCTCCCACCAGCGTGAATAGGTAGGACAGTTTCCGCAGGACGTTTCACTTCCTGTAAGGAATCTAATATGATCGTGAGGTTTCACGAAAGACTGGCAAAGCCATTCAGGAAATTTGAGAAAGCCGTTGTTTTCAACCGTAGTAACAGTCGAAATATCCTTCGAATAAATTACTCACTTGCAGGCAATTGAAACTAATCGTATGAAGAGTAATCCCCAGGAAGATATAAATGTAATCACCAGGGCTTTCGGATTGGTTATAACCATGCTTCCGGTGGCTTTTTTGGTCTATAAATACACCTGTTTTATGGGGAATGACATGTAGAAGGCGTCGTTGGATTATCAGAAAATGACATGCGACGGACGAATTGCGTAAACGGAAAATAGTAACCCGCAAAATATCATTAGTTTCATCACCCAGTGAAGTTTTAGTCACCTTGTTGCCACTGCGAGACAGAATGCATCGGTCTTCACATTCTTCACACCAATACTGTCATTTACCCCATCAGATACAACCGAATAGCAGGAACTAGAACAGCTTCAGCATATGCAGCCCTGTATCCGGTTGTTACATTCTTTGCATAAAGCACCATAGCTTCTCGTGATCATATGCGTAATTCACCGCTCCATATATGTGTGACGTGTTTATTTTGCGCTGTAATGGAGCTGTAATTTCAGAGTCAGTTTTGAACCTCCAGGTGAATTCAACCTGTTTATGGGCTTGCCGCGTTTTCTAGCATCATTACCACTGTTTTCCGGTTTTACTTATGTCGCAGGGATTGAAATGGATATTCATCTTCTTATGGACAAGCAAAGGAAACCCAGAACCAAATCGACGTACTATGGAGCCTACAAAACGATTGCTTCTTCAATTCCCCGAATATGAAACGCTACACCAAAGACACCAATCTTTATCAGCTCGTACGTCCTGGTCATTACTAAGTCAAGAACGGCTGATGTGAGCACCTTTCTTGTTACATCGCCTTACCAGATATTAGGGGGCACTCTTTTAATCTGCTTAGTTTAACCATCAGTTTGAAACAGGCCATATATAAAGTCTAAATAATACAGTATCAACAAAAGTTACAGACAATCCAATGCCCTTCTTGTGTCTCATCGGATATACTTCGTTTCAGAATCTTCATTGAGCTTATTCTTCAACTGAACATCAAACTGTATTTGTGTTTCTATGAACACTCATTTGAAAATTAACTTTGTGGTGACGACCAAACTGAAGTTTACCCGAATCACTCGCCTATAGGCTGGGCTGTTATCACGGAGGTTCTAGAAGGTGACTTGGTTGTATCGAATAACACCTAATGTTTCATCTTCATAATCCCAATGGAACCAAATAGCACATGCTTTATTCACTCCTAACAAGCCCACGTGACAGGGACTGGAGCATTCAGTTTGAAAGAATTTTGTCACACCTCAACAAAATCTGCTGAAAGCAATCGTGAACAGCTGAGAATTATTGGAATCAAGGGTGATTTTGGGAAAGACATGTCTATCGAGGAATTACCTTTATTTCTCTCACGGCACCTCCTCCCAAACAAGATATTTCGTTGCACAATAATTTGTGTCAGAATTGTCTGATGACCTAGGAATTATAAATTTTTAAAAAAAATTTTAATCTGGATAATCAATGAACTACCAGCCCATGTTGAAGTTTGTCTCCTACATATGAATCTGTTGGATTGAAAATAATGGAATATCACGATCTATAGAATAGACAGTAGTGTTTTGGAACTTTTTCCATTGTAAACAAAAATCAGAGTTGTAATTGATATACATTAAGCAAGAGGTTGTATGTTTTTATTCGCTACTTCCGTCCGAGGTCACGTGACAAGTCAAGAATCGGACAGAGGAGAAAAATCGATTCGCGTCCTGGAAAATGCTGTCTGTCGTCAAGGTCGAATCAATGCTAGTCTGGCGATCCGCTAACAGTTTATTAAAGCACTCATTTCCGACAATAATGTGGAGGAGCGCTTGGCTGGATAAAAACCAAAGCCAAGGAGGTTACAAGATGAGAAACTGTGACTGCGCGCGAAATATTACCAATAAATAGAATGCACTGAATTGAAAACGATCCGATTTATCCACGAGTTGCTACGCCACCAGGATATCCAGTGATAGAAAAAAACGCAAGTCCGTTAAGTGTAGGACACGAATACAATAAAACATCAAGAGTCTTTTGACATCTTCCGATATATTTGTTAAAGGTTTGTTAGGAACTTCGAAGAAAGGAAACAAACCCACACAGATCCTCTAATGGGTCGTATTGTATGAAATATTTGTCTACACGTGATTCATTGATCGTATTCCTTTAGTTTCCATTCTAAATCGATCTAGGATGGCGTTACTCGAGCCAATATTTTTTACACGGCATGTAACTCCCGAATAACAACGTCCAATATTTACAATAAATAGTTTGTTCTGAAATCGTGGATATTAAAATTACCCTCGAAAAGCTCACGTGACCAAGCCAGTTAAATGAGAATTTCACTGCCGCATAGTAATCGGTGAAATAGAGAGAAGTAAGCAATTCTTCTTGCTATGTGAACAGATTCACTACTCATTCATCTTCAAATTGGCGTAACGCGCACTTGGACCTCGAATTCGAGATTCACCAAATGGATTCACATCAGCTCACTTGAGGTGCAGGGAAGAATTCTACGTCTTGCCACAAAGATATCAACGATAACTATGCATGGTCATCAGGCCTCTGGAGCATTCAGTTTGAAAGAATTTTGTCACACCTCAACAAAATCTGCTGAAAGCAATCGTGAACAGCTGAGAATTATTGGAATCAAGGGTGATTTTGGGAAAGACATGTCTATCGAGGAATTACCTTTATTTCTCTCACGGCACCTCCTCCCAAACAAGATATTTCGTTGCACAATAATTTGTGTCAGAATTGTCTGATGACCTAGGAATTATAAATTTTTAAAAAAAATTTTAATCTGGATAATCAATGAACTACCAGCCCATGTTGAAGTTTGTCTCCTACATATGAATCTGTTGGATTGAAAATAATGGAATATCACGATCTATAGAATAGACAGTAGTGTTTTGGAACTTTTTCCACTGTAAACAAAAATCAGAGTTGTAATTGATACACATTAAGCAAGAGGTTGTATGTTTTTATTCGCTACTTCCGTCCGAGGTCACGTGACAAGTCAAGAATCGGACAGAGGAGAAAAATCGATTCGCGTCCTGGAAAATGCTGTCTATCGTCAAGGTCGAATCAATGCTAGTCTGGCGATCCGCTAACAGTTTATTAAAGCACTCATTTCCGACAATAATGTGGAGGAGCGCTTGGCTGGATAAAAACCAAAGCCAAGGAGGTTACAAGATGAGAAACTGTGACTGCGCGCGAAATATTACCAATAAATAGAATGCACTGAATTGAAAACGATCCGATTTATCCACGAGTTGCTACGCCACCAGGATATCCAGTGATAGAAAAAAACGCAAGTCCGTTAAGTGTAGGACACGAATACAATAAAACATCAAGAGTCTTTTGACATCTTCCGATATATTTGTTAAAGGTTTGTTAGGAACTTCCAAGAAAGGAAACAAACCCACACAGATCCTCTAATGGGTCGTATTGTATGAAATATTTGTCTACACGTGATTCATTGATCGTATTCCTTTAGTTTCCATTCTAAATCGATCTAGGATGGCGTTACTCGAGCCAATATTTTTTACACGGCATGTAACTCCCGAATAACAACGTCCAATATTTACAATAAATAGTTTGTTCTGAAATCGTGGATATTAAAATTACCCTCGAAAAGCTCACGTGACCAAGCCAGTTAAATGAGAATTTCACTGCCGCATAGTAATCGGTGAAATAGAGAGAAGTAAGCAATTCTTCTTGCTATGTGAACAGATTCACTACTCATTCATCTTCAAATTGGCGTAACGCGCACTTGGACCTCGAATTCGAGATTCACCAAATGGATTCACATCAGCTCACTTGAGGTGCAGGGAAGAATTCTACGTCTTGCCACAAAGATATCAACAACGGAAGTGACGAACTACGACTCTTGAACGATGAGTCAAAAGTGTGGCATCGCATGCACATTTGTGTGGGCCGACCGTCAGAGCACTTGTCGAGTGTGCAAGTCCCCAGGCTTGATTCTGTTGCACCCAGCGCTTGTCTCGTCATTTAATTTATGTTAAATTGATTCTGTTACTCAACACAACTACCAGTTATTTCAATATTCTTCGCTTTACTTAGTCCGATTCTCTACTTGCCGAATTTGTGTTCCACAACTGTTGGTCTGGCTCATCGAAGATAGGGTGAAATGAACAGGGTGTTTTCCGTGGTCTGAAGAAATATCCAAGAATAAACAAGAAAATCATGGATCTTTGCAGTTCACACAGCGTGACCGACAGGAATGTCCGAGCACACCGTTGTCCAGTTCCTGTCCAACTGTTTGATCACCTCAGACCGCCTGTAGGACAGCACTGATCCTGACTGGGGAAACCGGGTCTTCAATGGTCCTCCGGCTTGATAGCGCCATTCTGAGTAAGACGGATGAACAAAGTGAACATGTCTTCGCCTCCAAGGCTTGGTTGTATGTTCCACTTTCCCGTTTTTCGGTGATCCAAACTGTAACAGCTGGTACTAACGTACCTATGACACGCGGTTGATTCCGAATAATTTGTAAGTAGTTTTGAGACAACGCTATTTCTGTTGATTTTGTGCGAAAGGATAGCCCATCATGGGCAATAAACTGCAAGGGAAACCGAACAAGATAGAAGGCTATAAATCACATCTTGCAACAGCGCAGGGGACGCAGACATCTGGCAAATTTATTTAGTTTCCTTGCACAAAACTGATCTCTTGCTACTGGCTGAACGTCAGATTGGACGGCTGAAATCGTAAGCATGAACTTGCGACACCGATACAACCATTTCACGTGGTTCGGCTTTAGTTACATGCATGGTGGTATATTGTGGCTGGGGGTGATGCGGAAGAATAAAAGCATGCCGCAGTGTTACTTGGAATGTACACTGCGCTACCGCTAATTGTCAGGTTATAGTATGCCGTCTAGTCAGAAGTCAGAAGGTTTTAGTTATTGAGTTGAAATGACCACATTACTATTGGTTTTCAAAGGCTGCCTGGTACTACAAGGGCTCCGCGTGTTCAGATAGTCATGTTTACCTCATTTGACATATTGAGGATACACTCCAAATGTATCGGCCTGTCGATTGTACCAGATTGTGAATGTCTCGACCACACCAGGTGGTTTTCTATGCGAGTTCTGCTGTCGGATCTACCATACCATGTACCAGTTTTTCACTGAACTGGACAACAGAATTTCGACAGATACACTCATTTGCAAATCATTTCGGTTTCCACGGGTGACTCATGTGAATCTCTCGTTTATCGTGTTCCTCAACTGGATGTGTTGCACAAAAGCTGCCTCATATTTCAGTTGCTACGATATCTGAGATATCGCAGTACATTTTCATGAAGGAAACTACTCAAAAGGCTGCTGAAAACTCTTCGACAGCCCACGACGGTTTCGCCCTTCTTGGAGCTCATCAGTTAGGCACAGTCCAGAGTTCCCGCCAAACTTATGTTATACTTGAACCCAAATTAAACTGGTTTCCTTTATGAAAATATACTGAGATATTTCAATTATCACATCAACCGAAACATGATGCGGTCTTTATGCAGCACATTCAGTTGAAGAACATCATGAACGAGAGGTTCACTCAGTCTCCAGTGAAAACCAAAATGATTTGCAAATGAATGTATTTGTCGTAATCAGTCCAATTTGGGTTCAAGTAGAACATAAGGCTGATGGAAACTCAAGGACCGCGCCTACCTGATGAGCCTCAAGAAGGGCGAAACCAGCCGTGGGCTGTCGAACAGTTTTAAGCAACCTTGTGAATAGTTTCCCTTATGAACAATAGGATCTTTATAGAAGGAGGATCTACAAAGGCCCTACTCGTATTTCTTTAGTCTGTAAAAACCAACAGCAACTCTTCTTACCACTACTTCAACGTTATAATCCCAAGTTATTTTCGAGTGTTTCCTATCTGTTCGATCCCTAATAGAACCTGTGTCACGGTGTTCTCTGGCAACGTAAGTACTTCTCAGTGGAAGAGGTGAACCAGTGATGAATGAAACTTCTTCTTACGTCAGTTCAATCCTATTGGTGCTCAGTTACTTCCATACTTCTCATTTATGGAGTGTGATACTGAATAGGACACGTTAAAAAAAATCAAATTCTGGGGTAGACTGCAACTACGGGGTGTCTCATGATAAACGCAAAAATTAATACCAATGTTAAAACTTTAACACCAAATTAAACACTTATTATTTCTTATGTAGACATACATGCAGTATGCAGGTTTATTGTAAATAAACTAATATTACAAAAAATTTGAAAAAAATCGCCCCTTCCTTCTATAACAAGTTGGAGGCGGTATGAGATGTGAGACGCAGCATGTTTAAATTCTTCAAGCGTCACTCGTGCACACTTCTCTTCAATTCTTGCTCTTAATTCCACTAAACTCTTCGGTTTATTTCCATGATATACGTGAGCCTTGATCATTCCCCAAAACCAATAATCCAGAGGTGTGAGATCGGGTGACCTTGCGGGCCAAAATTTTGGAAATCCACGAGCAATGGCTCTCATTAGAAAATTGCTCTCGGAGGTGAGTTCTCACTTGGTTTGAGTAGTGGGCTGGAGTACCACCTTGTTGAAATACGGTCAATGGCTTCTTGTGCTGCTTGAGTTGCGGGATAACATGCCTCTGCAGCATATGGAGGTAACTGTCGCCGGAAACCGTAGCATCAAAGAAAAAGGGACGCAGGAGACATTTTGAGGAGAATCCCATCCACACATAGAGATGAAGGGAATGGAGATTATGGGTGAGGTAGTCGTAAAGAGCTTCACGAGACCATATCACGCAATTGTGCTTGTCGATTATGCCATCCACAGAGAAATCTGCTTCATCGCTCCATAAAATGTTGGAAACGATTCCTTCACTGTCCAGCAACCAGTTAGCGAACCTGACAGGCTGCTCCTTACGTGATGTTTTGTAATAAAGTGAAATGATGCGGGTACAGATGAAGGTGGCGTCTAGTAATACGATGCGCGCTGGCGCGGAGAATACCGGTCAACTGAGACACCTGAGTTATGGACGAAGATGCCATGGTGCTCTGGGACTGAAGTTGCTCGACGGCATTCTGTACAATGGGCGCTCTTTCATCACTCAGAGACTTTCTCCTCTTGCCAGAAAAATCCAATATAGATCCAGTGGACTCAAATTTCGCAATCAAGCGTGTAATGGTCGACACGGTGAAAGGATCTTTGATGATACCATGTTTGGTTTCGTAACCAGGACGTGCAGCGGTGGCGCTTTCACCAAGGGAATAATGGAGTTTCACAATTTCAGTGCGCGTACTGACATCGTGAATGAGAAAAAATGCCAGCAGTTGCCTACAAAACCTCCTTTATGTGGCTACTAACAAAATTTTTTTATTGTCCTCCCTTTGATTGTCTACAATTATTAATCAATCAAAATTTGCGTTTATTATGAGACACCCTGTATTTCGGCAACGCTTTTGGCGGGAAAAACGGATGACTCTATTGGGAGTTGACCAAGTACCTCCTGGTCTGTTCGCCGAGCTGGGAAATTGACTCGCAGGCGTTTCGCCATTATTCGAAGACATACTATCAGTGCGCGGTTGAGTGTGTATAGCCCCCCTCTTCGTGCTTACGCTTTCAAAGAGCTAATTTGCGTTTGAGACACCCTGTATTTCGGCAACGCTTTTGGCGGGAAAAACGGATGACTCTATTGGGAGTTGACCAAGTACCTCCTGGTCTGTTCGCCGAGCTGGGAAATTGACTCGCAGGCGTTTCGCCATTATTCGAAGACATACTATCAGTGCGCGGTTGAGTGTGTATAGCCCCCCTCTTCGTGCTTACGCTTTCAAAGAGCTAGTTCACTTGGCTATCCACCATCCTTTGTTCTCACATTTACTTAACGAATAAATGTATTCGACCATCGTGAATCCATGTTGCTGGTTAGGCTTGCAGATAGGCCTGTGAATCAACTGTACATTATCCGAAAACATACGAGACAGATCAATATCTGACGTTTAAAGTATGTCAGTCAGACTTTCTCGTGGAAAATAAACTATTTTCATGTTCGTGAGCGTCTACCATGTAGAATCATGCATCCCAGTGACTCTCTGCGTTGCATCCACGTCTTGTATGGGGTAGTGCTTTTGAAGCGTGCGCATGGTAAGATTCCGCTCCCCTAGCGAATAGCAAAATGGGTGACCTTTATCAAGGGATCAATGTATGTAATGATATTCCAATTGCATAGCAGTATTCTTGACGTTTTCATTCCAATTTCCAGTCATTTGGCTGTTTGTGGTCGTCAAAAAATCGCTGCTTTCAGAACATTGGCGAATTTCACCGAGCTGCGGCGATCTTTCTCATACAGATACCGACCAACTTTCGAATCTACTTCACCAGTTTTTTGTCCATTGTTCTTGCTTCGAAACACTGTGTACATTTGGATTTCTTGCTTATTCATTCGTAGTTCTCCGTTTTTATGTTTCGTCTGAACCTAATGGCTTGGCATGACGTCAAATGATGATAAGCAGACCCGGAACTGCCACTATCAAATCGCAGCTTGTCTAGATCCAATGTTAGTTTATCCTTAATACGCGAATGTTTTTGAAGAAAGCATAACAACAGGTAGAAAACGTAAAACCAACGTTATTTCGATGCTCTGTCAGTCGATCGGATAAGCTGTGTCTAATGCCACCCCGGGACAGAGTATTTTTGGTGTCAAGCTGACTCTATACGTATATTGGCGTAAACTTTACAGACAGTGCACGTGTGATGTAATGTTGCCTCACCACTGAAATGTCCATATGTGGTCTCCCGTGATCCGCTGACATATAACAAACAGAAACATGCAGGTGCCTCATCATTTGGGTCATGTATACTGACAGTCTTTTATACTGGTAAAAAACGATCACTAGAGGTTAGGGTTGTGGGCTTAAACACCAAATGGACTTAAGGTTATAGACAGGTTTCCTCATACCATACACTGACACCAGCGTTTGATCAAGTTCGATTTATAGCTTCTTTGTCGAGTTTTTTTCGTGGACCTATACAGATAACCGCTGTTTAAGTAGACCTCGGGTAACCGGAGTTTCGTTCCTCCACTTGATTAGCTAAACACAGCCCATGTCTCGGATGGCTTGAACATTCAGTTCAGATTCTCACGGTTGATTTTCAGATCCGTCAGAGAAGTGATCACCACACGTAAAAAAGAAAACAAAGTAGCGATGGGCCTTCGAGAGTGAAAATGCATTTGAAAAAGTGAGAAAACTCGGTTACGGTTAGACCTGGTTAAATGGTCTTTCCATACTAGGAATTTTCTAATAAATTTGCAAACCAAAACTTGACGACGAAGGGATGATGGTTTTCAGAGAGGATTGTTTGAGCCTATGAATAAAACTTCCTGCAAACTGTGCAACAAGCTAACACTACATCATACCTTCGATTTCGAGCTAACTGTGAACTAGAGAAAGTGACGATTTGTTTTGCTATGATGCCGGGCCGCTTTCAAAATTGTGATGTGAGAAAGTCCACAGTAATGAACGTCACACCCAGTCATTGAATTCCAAGTCGGTGGACTTTCCCCTATTACGAAATGGCATAAAAAATGATCAAGATTGATGAACAGCATGACCCTCAGCCATCAAAGCTTCATTCACAAGAGTGGAGATTGTCGGTTGATCTAGCCTTGCCCCGAATGACCAACGCATATCCTTGTGGTGGTGGTGGTGTGCACCGTGAAATGATGACGATAGAACGTGAATGCTATTTCGGAGAAATGCGTGATCCCTGGCGTTGCGTTATCTTGCTAACTCATCTCACAAAATATCGCATGGGGCACCGAGAAGAATACACTTTAAAACATCGATCTTCCAAACGTAAAGCTCATGTGGAAAATGCACATTGGCATTCGCTTGTGTTCGCATGACTGTCAGATGAGTTGACACCCAAGAACACAAGCAAACTGACAGTAAAAACATGTTGGTCAGAGTGAATTAGACTGTGTCCAGCACGCTACAGACTGCTAATGGATGGTGAAACTGGCATCTCAAAAAACCAACTCGACATGTTTAACTGAGTAATCAGTTTTTCGCTGGTACGTACGTCCCCAAATTACCTTTAGAAAATACAAGCCTTCCACGACACATGCTGTCTGGTATATCTTGTCTCACTTGTCAGGATAGAACATAGTTCAAGTAGAATCTTTGGAAGTATACAGAAAGAAAAGCGTTTCACGTGAACTGTCAACTCCAGTTTTCTTCATTTCGTTTCATCTCGTTTGGATTCTGCTGTGTTTTTGAAAGTACAGTATTTCTGGACAATGCGGCATCGCAATCCGAAAATGTGAGATGAAATCTGCTATCGTTACTGAGACTGGTTTCATCAATTTCTACGTGTCTCAATTCCTCTTGGAACAAATAAACATCGAAATTGGCATGTTCGGAAATATCTTTCAGTGACTGAATATCAGCCTAATAAGAATCCGGTTTCCTCAAAGCTGTCACGATTAGATCGGATAGAGAAA